CCCATGTCCTTCACTGTCTTAAAGATAGACTTCTATAAAGGTTGTGCACCTGCGTAGTCCCCTACCCACTTCACATTTTTTGTGCTGGTTCCAAGGCTTGAACTCAGCTCTCATTCAGGTAGATTTCTAACTAATGGCGAATTCTCTACTATTTGAGCCATACCTCCACTCTGGTGTCTCATGGCCCAAAGGATTTCATCGCCACCACATCTTCCTTACCATTGTGGGCTGTACTGTACCCGGGGAAGCTGAAGACACATATCTTTCCGATGGGAAGCAGCTGGTTATTCTGGGTGAGAGCAAGAAATGGATCCACATTCCCATGTGGGTACTTGTGTGGAGAGGGTCTTAGTCTCTGTGAGCTGAGCTTGGCTGTCTGTGAAATGGGTCTCACTGTACCTTTGTCACTGCCACCAGAGGGGTAATGAGGAAACCTCTAAAGTGTCCATGAGCTACATAGGGCTTTATCACATATCATCCTGACCCATCCCCCAGGGGCAGACACCAATGACCCCAAACCATGAGCATACACTTAAAGTGCCAATGGAAAGAGAGCAACATGTGCTGAGTGAGATATGCCAGAATATGTGAACTTTGGTCTGGGGCCAAGGAGTGCACTGAATTACCTGTGTAGGTTGGGGAAGAGTAGAGTCATAACACCTTTTCTTTACTGCTTTGTTTTCTTGTGCTCTTATTTTAATATGTACTTTGGTAACATGGATGCTGGATCAAAGGTGAGACAGGTGACCAGCTATCCCTCACTAGAAGAACTCAAGTGAATCATTTCCAGTATGTTGACCTTATCCTAATGCTGTGATACCCTATAACTGTTGCCTGAGTATTGGGTTAGAAAACAGTTAAGTCTGGACACCACTGTTGAAGTTGGGGTGGTATTTTAAAATGTGCATGTCCATATGCTAGACAGAATCTCAAATAACATCCAATGATGCTCACCCTTGTGTAATCTCCTCCTTTTGGAGGTAGGCAGAACCTGGTTATAGGTTATCACTTCCCTATGTTCACTTCTGTAGCAGAAAGAAACTCTCTGGGTGAATCAGACCTAATCAATTAAACCCTTTGAAAGTGGAGAATTTCTCTGGCTATTCAGAATAGAGGAATCAGGGATGCAGTATTGTTGGTGAGGGATGAATTGATCCAGTCCTTAGGAGCCGAGAGCACCTCTGGACTACAGCCATCAAGGGAAAGGAGACTCAGCCCAAGAGTCATCGGGAATAGTTTCTATGGCAACTATAATGACATTGGAACTAGATTTTTACCTAAAGCCTCCAGATAACCTCACTGAGCTGATGCTGAAGGCTTGACTGAAGTCTTGTGAGTCCCTGGGCAGAGAATGAGGTCATATCCTTACAGACCTGTGAGCTAAAGGGGTGTAGATGCCAGTCACTGCACTTATGATTACACACCTGGAAAATCAATTCCTGTATGAATGCAGCTTGCACATTTTCTGTCTCTCATGCCTGAGATGAACCATCCCCAGAGCCCCCTCTCATGTTGATATGGGGCAATATTTAAGTCCTTACTCTTAGGCAAACCTGGAGATCTCCTCTCCCCTACACTACCTTTGCATGGGAGAACCCCTGCTTCCTTCTTTCTGTCCTCAGATGCCCTCTCTTCTTCCTTGTGTAAGTGATCAAATACTTTTCATGAGTTTAAGGTTTCGTGAAAGATAGAAAGCACAATTGCTTCAGACAGCTTCTATTTCCAACTCAGGGATAAACTTCCCCTAGGGTAAGGGCAAGGGGCACCATACCTGGCTCTCTGCTGGAAATGCAAGGATGTAAACACAAGGAGAAAAAAAGCAACCCTCACTTCATGATGTATCTTGACACATTTACTACAGATATCCCACCAACAACCCACAATACCCTGCGTGACAGCTTCTCTCCCTGATGCTGGAAGTAGGTCTGATGAGCAATGTCTTTATCATCTAAATTTTGTTTAGGAGCACATTCTTTGGAATCCCACACATCCATGAAACGAGGATAGTGATAACTCATTAGAAGAGATGCCATGGATTACAGACAGGGAATAATAATGTGAAGAATATGAAACTGGCTTATAAATTTTCTTCATAAAGAGTTGTTCTTTTCTCTTTAAAATAAGGAGCTTTTGTAGAACCTTGATCTGCCTCCTCTACCAGAGTCACTTAATTAGGATGCATATCAGAATGATGCCAAGAAACATTCTCTAAAGCTTCACAAGTAATTCTTTTCATGGATGAAATGTGGCTTCTTTATCAAAAGCTAATCAAATGATTAATCTGTAATAACATTGCCCTTAGTAAGTGAATACATCCAGTAGAAACCAATGGTGTATAAAAAGTCTCCTCTTCATTGCACCAACACTAGCAATCATGAGCTTTTGTCATTTTTTTGTCAATCTGATCTAATTTTATCAAGTCCTGCTCCATTGTGTCATTTCATTAGGCTTACATATGCAGAGGATTTTGTCCTAGATTTTCATATTTAACAAAAATACAGAATAATGCACAAACACAATAATAATGCCACATCCAGAGAAATGGAGCCAAAAGATAGTGTTTGTTCTCACACAGAAAATTAATTAATTTTCAGGAATTGGCTCCATGACTATGAAGGCTAGAAATCCAGTATCTGCAGGATAGAATAGTAGATTAGAGATCAGGAGATAGTCACTGTTACAGTTCAAATCTGAAGGCTATCTGCCATCCAAATTCTTACTCCTAAGTAAATGCCTTTTCCTGATCTGACCTCCAGCTGACCAGATGAGGCCAATCCACAATTTAAATGTCAATCCTCACACACATCAGAGACATTAAAATGTTGATGAGATATCTGAACATCCAGAATAGTACTGATGATAGCTGGGCTATGTGACTTATTTAAAATGTCATGTAATATTAACTATCCCACTGACCCTAATATGTATATATATATATATATTCTTTGTAGCCAAATGGAGTAGTATGAGCCTGTCACCCCAACTATTCAGGAGGCTGTGACAGGAGGATCAGTTGAGCTCAGATAGCATAGCTAGACTCCAATAAAAAGCACTGATTGTTTATCTGTAATCCAAATTTAACTCGGTACCCTTTATCTCACAGAGAATTTTCTGTAAGGACCAAGGTGCTCCAGCAAATAGTCTTCCTGAGCTCCTAGCAGACTCCAGCACCAGTTCTCATTCCTCTGTGAGAAAGTTTTCTGGATGTCCCAGATGAATGAAGCACACAGGAATCTACAGATCCAGGTGACAAACACAAACCTTTCTGATAAACCCATCTGACACACAGCCTGCTAATAGATGGCTGTTGTTTGGGAAGGTGCTGTTGATGAGAAATAACCAAAACATTATGGTTTGGGTGACATTCCCCTTTTTTTTCAGTCTGTTGTTACTTGGATAAGATAGATTCTCTTACCTTTGACAATCTGAGGAAGGAGCTTTGTAATAATTTTGATTATAGTATGAGAGTGCTGGTTTATGTGTGGGTATATGTCTCTGAATATTTCACCAATTTCTTCTTGAAGGGATTTCCTAGGGAAATTTTCTGTTTTTCAACCTACTGTTAAAATTTAGAAAGCATTTCCAATTCTTTTCTATACAATGATATTTCACTTCAGTCTTCCATGTTAAGGAACTGAGAAGCTTTTACCACAAACTATTCCTTGAGGTTTATGGAAACCTATATCTTCCACAGGTTGCTCAATAAGTGTGTAGTCCAAATCAAACAGGTGTAATATGCATTTAACCTACTTTTCTATGTGATAAACACACATGAGGTAAAATATGAAAAGTTCTTATCATATTAGCTGACATGTGTGGCTGATATTTTAATTGAAATAAAAACTACATACTTGAACACAAAATCATTAGTGATGCAAGATGAATTAAAATAAGGTCAGAGAATGATAAACCCATCTATCCATGTTGTCATTCAATTATATTGAGAAATAATTTAAAAAATAGAAGAATTCCATGAAAGTATTTGTTTTGATTGTAACATACGAATTATTGTCCATATAATCTCACATGATTTACTGTGTCAGGTATTGAAGCAATCATATTTTCCATAGACTTGGTCAAACTGATTTAAGCAATCTAACTATGATCTGTATGTTAGCCACATCAACCATGCCACTGCCCTCATCAGTGATTACGTATAATTCTCCTATATGTGAGCTTTACAAATGAAGTGCTGGGTAGACCATCAAGGCACCGTTGCGGGGACCAACGCTATTAATATTTAGATTAGTTTCACTCGGCCATCTAGTGGTCAACTTTTCTTTGTTACTATTTCACCATTGTGTTCTTTTAGAAAGTGAACTGTTATTTTCTGTTCTGAGCTGTTCCCAGTCTGTACAGACATGCTTAGCTTTGTGCTTGCACTTGCAACACTATCCACACAGGGGAGCTGCTCCTGCCTTTCCCTTCTGGCCTCATATTCCAGAGCAAGCCAACCAACCTGGGCCAAAAGTACCGCCAAGGCCTACAGTGCTGCCAAGCGCTGCTAAAGCAGGAACCAGTTGCTCCCTGTCCCTTGCCCCTCCCCATGAAGGCAGAGGCCTGGTCTGAAACTGTAGTAAACTATGTAGTACTCATGTTTGAACTCTGGGCCTAACAACTGCTGGAAAGGTGCTCCACCACATGAGCCATTCTCCCTTATCCTTCACTCAGCTCTGTTTTAAGTGTTTTGCAGGAAGGGTCTTGAGTTTTGCCCAGGCTGGCCTCAGACCCAGATGGGCCACCTATGGCCTTCCATGTATTTAAGATCATAGACAGCACACCTCCCCCAACTACAATACAGAACAAATTACAAGTTTAAAGTAAAAGTGACAATATTTTATTTAGTATGAATCATTTAAGAGGGGGAAGAACCCCTTCCCCGCCAAAAAATAAAAAAGCCCTTAAGGTGTCCACTTGTGAGGGGCTCAGGTCTTTTAGGCCAAATGGTGGCTCTGAAAAGAACCTTTGGGTTTCAATGTTCAGGGCCTGCCAGAAATGGCTCACTCAGATTGGGAGAATCTGAACAGGGCTTTGGTGGCCTGGATCACAGTAAGCTTGCCAAGGTTCCCAGGCAGTAGGAGGCAGACGGCTGCCTGGATATCTCTGGAAGAAATGGATGACCGATTAGTCTTGTGGGCCAGGCAGCCTGCTTCACTGGCAATGCACTTGAAGATGTCATTCACAAATGAATCCAATATATATATCATTTTCTGGGAAAGTCTCAGCTCATGGTGAATCTTCTTCAGCAACCGATGATAATAGATGACAAAACTGGCTTTATACCTGCGGTGGCAGCGATGGCGGTGGTAGCAACACCTTGCTTTCTTCTTTCCAGTCACGTCAGTCTTCTTGAGTTCCTCAGAACACAGTCTCTCCACAGAAAATGTTGAAGTGGTTGTTTCAACCACAGAAGATGTTGATGAGGTTGGTTCAGCCATCACTAGGAAGTTCCCAGAAACTGAAGGACAATGGGGATCAGGGCATTGTCCTCATCATGGGCCAACTGGAGGAGTGATTGAAAAACCTGACCTTCAGGAAACTTCTCACTAAGCCACAAATGGAGGTCAGTATGACTGGATGGTCCTCCTACTTGGCAAAAGGTTGGCCAATCATAGTATTCACTTGACATGATAGGACAGTTCTCTTGGATGGCATCTCAGCTACCAGTGAATGCTCCATGTGATCAGGCAGTCCTCCTAATTGGCATGACATCAACCAACCACAACAGGCATCTGGAACCCAGACGTTTCCTGTTGTCTTGACCAGAAAGGTCAAGAAGAGGCTACAGAGAGCAAAAGTTCCTCAGACTACATCAGCTGACTGATTCTACATTGTGAACGTTTTGAAAAGATGTCAGTAAAATTTCCTAATTTGTGAATGTTTCCACTTTGGGTCTTTGAGAGGGATCTGACACTAAGTAACTCAAGTGCATGATACTAGAGAAGTGATTCTAGGCACAGATTGTCTGTTTCTAGTTCAAATTGGAATTAATTGTTGAGCCTGCCTGGCTTGACTAGGAACTTCATGATTTGGCAAGCACAGAATTCCTAGGAAGCATGTCTAGCTCCTGCTTCCAGGTCTTATCAACCCCTCAGTTTATCAGAAAGTCTTCAAACATAAAGAGGCTATTTTGAAAAATATATAAGACTGTCCAACATTTACCTAGGTAAAAAAACAATTTTAAGACCAGGTGTGATGATTCATGCCTGTAACCTCAGCATCAAAATGATGAGGCTGGAAAAGAGCAGTAGGATCGCAAGTTGCAAGTCAGCCTGACCTACATAGAGAGGCTATCTCCAAAAAGAAACAAGCCAAAAAAAGCCCCAGAATTTGTTGAAACAGTGAGGGAATAAAATTTTAGATTTAATGTTGATGACTAGACAATGGAATCATTATGTTAAAAAAATTCCTAAATTCTTATAAAATTAGGTCTCAAAAGTATTGAAGAGAAAGAGGGTATTAACATTGCAGAAACATTTTATAATTTAAAGAATTATGATAATGCAAAAATTTTACTCATATATACCTATACAAATAAGTTACAAAAATTCACCCAAAGTCAAGACTTCTTTGATTTGAATATTAAATAAAAATTGAGGCAGTAGAGGACAACATGAAGCCATTATTGAAAATTTCCAGAGGCTTAATTGTATTGCCTATTAAAACTCTAAAATTTATTCTACTAATAATAAACTGATAGACAACTATAGCCACATATAAAAATATAGTTCCATGGAAAATTGTTCATTTTTATTTGTAAAACTATAATATTATGAGAGAAGCAGTGAAGAAAGAATGTAAAACAGAATTATTAGGAGTCTTATTCATAAATGAAGATGTGTAAATTCCACTTGAAATATTAGTAAATAATATTTCCTCTTCAATTTGTTGCTGGAAGTAAGGGTATATCCTTGGATTGTATCACTAAGTAATCATCACTGAAATCAGCAAGCAAAAAAAAATAAGCAAACATCACGTGAACAAATACACTAACTTTCCCCAATATGTCCTAAATTGAACATCGCAGAAAGGATCTTCTTGAAATCATTCTTGGTCACAGTTGCATACTTTGGGCCAGCAGCTGTGATTCAGACACTGCAAGTCCCCTTCAATGGCTGTGCCAGTGAGAAAGTAGTCATGAGCCATGAGATATTCCCATTGTGTAAGTGATGAATAACACGGTTTAGTCCTATCTTATTTTTTCAATCCGACAAATAATCATCATGCACATTACTGTCATGTATAATCATTGGTTTATTTACGCATGTTTGCAAATATTATTCCTTCACTATTCCTTCCTGCATCTCAGATTATCTTTCTTGTTCCACTGTTCATTCAGCTTGTAGTCACTGGTATAAACAGTTACTTTTGTAGTTTAAAATGTATTTATTTTGGGGATGTGTTGCTCAAGAAGTTGATTATGAGATGGAATTTAGAGTACAGAACATTTCCTTAGGAGAAAAGAAGGAAAACACTGCATAATATTCTCTTTAACACCAAGTCTATGCCATATTTGTGTGGTGAGTGGGGTGAATGACCTCTGGGGCTGGGAAATGAACGAATTCCTCATTTCTATCCTATGAAACTGGGCATCAATGAATTTCTTCTTGTTTGCTATACTTTCTTTTTGCCTTATTTCACACCTGGTTTTACATGAGAGAAGCATGCTTCCTTTGAGTCCTGGAAGGGTGAGAGCCAATCCTTGTTTTCCATGTGCTGGGAAGCATGCTGGAATAACAGATAGGAGATCTCCTTAGGCAGGTGCAAGACCCAGGAACTCTGGAATGTTCTTGTCTCATGGTAAGTCTCTTCAGTCTTATCCTTACATTGAAATAGATATATCTGATATGTGTGAGTGTCTTTGCTTTGTGGCAGAGTGATACCAGCCCAATACAAATGGTAAATGAGCCAGTGCCCAATTTATTCAGGATTAAGGTCTGAGAAAAGGACAGAAGGGAAAAAAAGAGGCAAAGACAGTTATACATCCTTAGTGCAGACCCAACCAAATCTCCCTTTGATCCCAAGGTGAGCTGTGAAGGTGATTTATCCCAGCAGTTATTCTCTTCAGGCAGAACAAATCAGCCTTTTATACTCTCTCCTGGATCAATGCTGGAATGTAGTTCATCCAGAAGTATATGGCCTTACGGGAGGCAATTTTTGTGGCGCAGATAATACCTGAAGGCACTAATGGCTGATCAGTGGCAGCTGATTGCTATCCAAACAGCTTAAGAAGTGAGTGTATACTTAATGAAGGTTCACAACAGTCTACCTACCTGTGTATCACAATCTTCTTTTCTTGTGTGTGCCTGGGGCTTGACAGTGCCTATGCACTGTCCTTGAGCTTTTTTCCCTCAAGGCTGTCTATCTACCACTTGAGTCATAGCTCCACTTCTGGCTTTTGGGAGGTTAATTCTAGGTAAGAGTCTCACAGACCTTCTTGACTTGGCTGGATTCAAACTGCAATTTTCAGATCTCAGTGTAACAAGTAGCTAGATCACAGGCATAAGCCACAGGTGCCTGGCACAACCTTTTTAGATGATACTTTGTTTGGCTAGGAAAATACCTAAAGGAAGCTGCAATGATTTAGGCAGGGTGTCAACACCTCGTGCCTGAAATCCTGGTTTCTCATGAGGCTGAGATCTAGACCTATGGTTCAAACTCAGCTTGGGCAGATAAATCTGTGAGAGTTCCTCTCAAATACAAGAAAAAAAAACAACAGCAAAAAGAATAGTAAAATGTTGGATTACAGATGTGGGTCAAGTAGTAGAGTGACAGCAAAGAAAGTCAAGCAAGCAAGTAAGCAATATAGAAAGTTGAGCAAGCAGGAGGCCCTAAGTTCAAACAGCAGTAGCATCAAAAACATGTTTGGGTTTGAATTTAAAATACCACTCTCCCCAAAATAAACCTCATGTGTTGAAGGTTTGGACCACAATGCAGCAGTGTTCAGAATTGGACACTTGGGAGGTAACTGGATTTTGAGGACCTTATTAGTTGATTTATCTATTGATGGAATGATAGTTTAATGGGCTATTGGAACGGGTTGGAAACTAGGAGCTGAGACATAGAAAAAGTAGGTCACTGGAGGCATACCTTTAAAGGGTATAATTTGTCCTTTGTCTCTTCCTCCCCTTTTCTTTGCTTCTTGGCCAACATGAGATGAGCAGCTCTACTACTATTACTACTACTACTACTACTACTACTACTACTACTACTACACACACACACACACACACACACACACACACACATAGCTCACCATGATAGTCTACCTTACTATAGGTCCAGATACACCAAATACAACAAAGTCAAGTAGCCATGCATGGGTCTAAACTACTAAATCAGTGAAGCAAAATAATTTATTTTCCTGTTTTAAGTAGATTTTTTTTTGCATGGGGGAAGTCCTGGGGCTTCAACTCTGGGCCTGGGCTCTGTCCTTGAGCTTCTTTCGTTCAAGAATAATACTCTACCACAATTATCCACTGAACCACTTCAGGCTTCTTCTGAGTAGTTTATTGGAGATAAGTGTCTCACAAACTTTCCTTCCCAGGCCAGCTTTGAACAGCGATCATAGATTTTTTTATTACAGTGATGGAAAGCTAACATGAAAATATTAATTATTAAAACTATAAGATACAGATTAGAGATACTACATGTAGAGCATCTTATGATAAGCAATAAAGTCTAAAATATATAAAGAAGCCATCCAACTTGACAACCAAAAGGCTAAACAAATTATAGAATGAACAGAATACTCTAGTAGACATTTCTCCAAGGAAGAAGCACAAATGGACAAGAAATACATGAGAATATGCCTACTACTGCTAGTCATTAAGTAAATGTAACTCAAAACCACAGATGCCATTGCATGGCTATTGTTTTTGGTTTTGTTTTTTTTTGGTCCAGTCGTGGGGCCTGAACTCTGGGCCTGGGTGCTCTCCCTCAGCTCTTCAGCTCAAGGCTAGCGCTCTACCACTTGAGCCACAGCGCCACTTCCGACTTTTTTTCTTTTTGCTTATATAGTGCTGAGGAATACGAACCCAGGGCCTCAGGCATGCAAGGCAAGTGCTCTACCACTGAGCCACCTTCCCAGCCCCTGCATAGCTATTGTTTTAAAAACTTTTAACAAGTGTTGATAAAGTTATGGAGAAATTACAACTTTCATATACTATTGATGATAGTCAACAGTCACTGTGAAAAACAGATTGACAGAATAACCAAATTCCATTTCTAAGTATATACCTAAGAGAACTGAAAACTAACATGAGCATATGCTCATAAAAGCTTGTATAAAATGTTCATAGAATGATTATTAACCATAGGCATTAAAGGAAACAACCTAAATGCCCATGAACTGATGAACAGTAAACAAACTATGATATATCCATTCCAAACACAAAAATAATGAAGTACTTCTGCATGCTACATCACTGAAAATAAT